CCATGAGGAAGGAAATGAAAATGATATCAAGGAGTTCAAAAACCTGAAGAAAAAAAGCCAGGTTGAAGAGGAAAATGGGCAGGGAATCTGATGTGCCAGTAGGGGATGCAAAGAAAGCCAGAGGTCGAGGGAGGGGCAGGGGCAGGGGCAGGGGAAAGGGCAGAGGCAAAGGCAAGGACAAAGGAAGACACACAGGTGCACAAAACTCTGAGGAAGCCAAGAAGGAGAGGAGATTGCGCTTCTTGAACAGGTTGGTCAACCAAGCATCCAAGAGATTGAAAGCAAGTCAGGAGGCCCACAAGCCTGAGACCACAGTGCCTGAAACCACTGTACCTGATGAGGAGGTAGAGTCAGAGAAGGAAGAGGGTCCAATTCCCTCTTCCTCATCAAAGGGGCCAGGCCCTCAGCCACCCCAGACTCCTGACAATGCAACAATGCCAAGCGCTGCTGATGAGACACATGACAAGGCACCAATGCCCCCACCACCTGTGCCTGGAACACCTGCCCCTGGCACCCCTGCTCCAGGAACCCCTGGGAGGATTGGGACACCTGCCCCCAAAGTGCACAAAAGCCCAGAGGAGATTTTGGGTTTGCTGGCCCCCCCCTGGGTGTACAATAAGTTTGGGCTACAATGATCATCGATTTGCTGCAAGGTACCCTTTGGACAGTGCCACTCTACCTTCTAACCTTGCAAAGAAGACCATGAGTGCAGCCTTTGCACAGAGAAGATCATGGCAGGAAGCCCTGTCCATGGTCCACAAATGGTCTTGGGAGAAGTGGGAATTGGTGCAGGACAGGCACCCTTTACCTTCAGGAAGGCAAGCCCAGAAGCCTGGAGAAGTGTCAAGCAAGGCACTGGAGGACTTGACACCTATCATTAGGGACTTGCCTGAGGTGAAGAGGTACAGCAAACTTGTCTGAGCCAGCACATTATGAAATTCCCACTGGAAGTGGCATTTGAAATCCACTAGTTTTCTGAATCCTTGGGTGGCATTTGAAAGCCACATGTTTGGGCTAGGTCTTTGTGACATTTGAAGGTTACAACTTGGAAGGCCCAAGTGGAGTGAGCAGGGCAGTGAAAAGAGCCACCCAGTGAATCATTGCATCGCAGCAGCCTCTTGTGACCAGGCCTCTTGTGACTGAAAATGGACCTTGCCCAGGCAATTGCCTCATTGCTCTGAAGGCAGGGAGGGGGGCTTCCTGGAAGTTTCACCTTTTGCACAACCCACCCACCCTTGGAGCTATTTTCTGAAAGCTTCAGCTGTT